GGCGTTAGTTCCCGTGGGTAGTTCCAAAGGCCCATCTTGCATAGTTTGCCGATTTTAGCAGTTATGGAATGTGTTTGTCTTCGGAGAACCGTTATGCATTCCAATGTCGTCAGAAAATCCCTGCTTGATCGATGGATGGCGCGTAGAAAACCAGATAACAGGTAATTCAACCTACTTAAAAATTTAAGTAGGTTGCTATAATACATTAGGACCCAAAAAAGACCACTAGAGACAACCTCACCAAAAACTTGACTGAACAACTTGCAATACCAGAAGTTCGGAGTTGTAAAAGAAAGGAAAGGAGGAAAACTGATGGCACTAGTTGTACATTTCAGGCTAAATGAGTCCAGTGCCGATGGCCACATACATTGAAGGAGAAAGTGAAGAGGACATATTTTTAAATCTAGAAGAACAGTTGGTGAGCATACGCATGCTTTTGAGAAATCCTCGTCGGACCAATACATTTAGATGGAAATAGGGCACAAGTTAAAATGTGTAGTCTTTTCATACACGTAAGTTTTGGGAATGGGGTGGGCGGTAGGGGTCGATAAAAAAGGGCTGCTTACACAGCGGGGAGGGGGGCTGGTGGAGCCAGTCCGGGGGGAGGGGAGAGAGTATGAGAAAACGCGAACGAGTACGTGCAGGTAAGCGGCCGTTGGCTATGCAAGGCGCGGAGTCTACAGGTTATTTCGTGCGCACAAGACCAGCTACCTCAACCTAATAGCGATCGCTTCAGTTATTGTTAGCAGACACTGACCTAAGGACTTGATGCGATTAGATGGCACATTATAAATCACATGGAATGATTTGTTGGGGTCCAGACGATGCCCAGAATCGACTATGTGTGCAAAAATAGCGCTATTTATGCTCATAACTTCGCCTTTTCTCAGCCATGCCGGGAGATGTCTCCTTATTCTTTTGCATAGGCGCCGACTCGTAAAACCCATATAATTTATTCCACAGGAGCAAGTGAATTAATATATGCACATGGAGTTGATCGGAGCTGGTAATCCATCTTTACCTTCGCCGTGCAAAACCAGGATAGTTGAGAATAATATTCGAACTTTCGCCTAGGGTTAGTCGGCTTAGTCAAGACATGTTCGGTTCACTTGCTGCGTCCGACTCTCTTGAGGACCACGACTGAAGATAAGAGCGAAGCTGATAAAGTCGATACTTTAACACTTAACCTTAAACCCTGAGCGTAAACTATTAGCCCCCTAGCGCTAACCTTTAACCGAAGGGCAACCGTAATGGGATTATATGAGGGAGGCGTGACAAGGAATGTGCAAATAATGGTTTAAATCAAACTTACTCAAATGACATAAGTAGATAGTATGTTGAAGAAAAGAGAAATTGGAGTCAAATAATCTATCCCCACCATCTAGCCAAATGGTTATTTACTTTCAGGATATCATCTTTCTTCGCTTTATGGTCATAGACAAGACACGGACAATTGAGTGGAGAGAGAAGTACAAATACCACAAACCGATCGAGAAATGATTTGCGCTACAGGGTTTACTCAAGTCAACATGACGGAAAAAATGTTTTCCGGGGCTTCTTGATGAGGAGCAAACAAGGCATCCAAGAGGGCTTCGCCAAAATAAAGCTCGGATGACGGCCAGTAAGGAGCTTCTGATTTCTCCGCCTTTCTCAGACCTACAGCCGTTGCATAAAGCCTCTTAGGCTCACCTAACAATGAGGTCTACCACTACTACGCCTTAAGGGTGGGACGACGCAATGGCGACTTGCACATGCGTCTGCTTATGGCTGTTCACGCCTACGAGGCCTGCATTCACTTCACTCTTTCCACGATTCCCATCCGTCTCGGCGATAAGTCAGTGTAAAAACAACAGGAAATAGGTATGACTAAATAGGCTAACCAGCCCGGGAGTGCTAAATACGACATGCCCCCAGGTGGTTGCTACGTCGTAGATTAAATTCAGAAAAGTGAGCGGTGCTAAAGCGATAGAATTAGAAGAATGTGCCTACAGACCGAGTCATCCCGTCAACGTGAAAAATAAGTCCTTCCTCTCAACCATTGGCACGTCCGCTTATTGGATGTTTTAACTATTGTCAATCTATCCTCCCTTATATTATTGTAAAAGCCCGATATTGAATAATCGAAAACTTACGTTTTCCAGACTCGACAGATTAAGTTGTTTCATTGTTATTTTTAATCACTAAGTCAACTGACTAAGCTGAAAGATTAAAAAGAAAGTTCTACTGATTTATGAAATTCAAACTTAATTTCATTACCCCTGCAAATATTTTGGCCTGACGAAGATTTGCTGAAAACGTATGTTTGCCAACTCGACTTCTCAACCTTAGCATGGGAATATTTGCAGAACATTTGAGAATATTTTTCCAAAGTTATATTAACTTTTAGTGAATGCACAAAAAACGAATGGTTCTGTTCCCCTACTTCTGCCACTTACTCGCCAGTGCAAAATACGACATGCGCCTCAGGTGGTTGCCACATACGACGTTAAAACCACAAAAGTGAGCGGTGCTATACAGACAGAATTATAAGAATGCCACTGTAAACTGAGTCAGTACGTCAAAGCAACGCCTTCTAAGTGGACGGCTTCAATCCATCTTTGTAGTTTCCTTCCCCACCCATGTTAATGTGGCCTGTCCGAGCCCGTGGTTAGCAATGACACTAAGTTCAGGGGTTGAGATAGAATGAGCTTTACCCTGACAAGCTGAAAGTCGATTCTGACGATGTCCACCGTGTACTCCAAAACGTGGTGGTGCAGGAACAGTGGCTTACGAATGGATTCGTTTTAACTGATAGTAGGCTTGCGTTGCACCCTCTCTTCCCTCACACGCTCGAGCCCAGGGTCAAAACAGAGTCAAAGAGACCGGAGGCAGGATATACAGCCCCACCCCAGCACACGAGGATGGTAACTAAGTTGGGACACAAACAATTAAGTGCAGTCCATGTTGTCTCGACTTTCGATCCCACACAATTGCGGAGCAGCCCACCTAAGACAATCCGGCTCAGGCTCACTACGAAATCCCGTAATCACAAAGCCGACACGAACATAGATCAACAATGAATGTCTAGGCGAAATACTCACCAAGCTTGAGAAAAAAAACACGAAAGGCGATGTTGGCGGGTCGGATTTATAATCACGTAAAGATCACAGGGCACAGTAAAAACGGATTTCAAAACTAGTGAGCAAATGGTGTGGCAAGCCATCTAAAAACAGTAGAGGAAGAGACATGACGAGGGCACCATAAAGACACTTACGATGTCTTCTGCTGGTGATTCTCGGGTAACCATGGTGATGACGCTTCAACATCGAGGAAATCGCTAGATTCAGCAGCCGACAGACAGTCATCCGCCTCAACAATATGTAGAACGACACCCGCAAATTTAACATTTCTATCCATGCTGACGAGCTCTTCGTAGGATGCTGCCGAAGCGTACTCGCCGGTAGGGGCACTAGTAGAGCTGAACTCGCTCCACTGCGGCTGCACATTGCCTTCGAGATCTGCATAGGGGGGACAGAATTCAGTGCCAGGTGCCGCGGTTTTCAGAATCAGAGGACCTGAATCCTTCAACCAGCAAACCAAGGAGCGCGGGCCCGGCCTGAAGCGACTATAGCTTGGCACTTTAAGTGCAAAAAAAGAAAAAAAACCTCAACAAAAAGTTCGAAAGTTCACTGTCGTGAGAAAAGTCCACAACAAAACTTTTGACAGCCTTATCACGTTCCTGGGTGACCGCGTACACCCGTTTTCCCACCTATTATCACGTCAGTGACGCTGAGCGCCACCGATGGCGCGAAAACAGGACTCAACGGGCAGAGCACCCAGTTAAACAATAAGCTGCTTAAGCGCTTAAATCGCAGTGTGTGAACCTAGCATGGCTGATTCAAGACACAAACTGACTATTCGCTTTGTTTTGTTTTGTCTTGAACAACAGTGTTCGTTGACTGCTGACTACTCACGGCTACAGGATCACCAGGGCGGAGAGAAAGGATGGCAACGAAACCGCGGAGGTAATCAACTGTCCGAACTATATCCTAGAGACTGGAGGGATTGAAAATTAGCACGCACGCGGAAAGCCGAAGTGAGCAAGAAACTGCATGCCTGTCGTTTCTTTTTTAAAACCCGCTCATCCGAAGGAATGCAAGTTAAGAAAACTTAAATGAGGAAAGAAAATAAGTAAGTCTTCAATTATGAAAAATTTCAGAAACCCTTGATAATGTAATGCAGGCAAAAAAGGTTGAGACGCTTGACCAAAAGGATCCATTTGATGGATAGCAACTTAAAATGAATATGGCGGATAAATTGGCATCCTAAGAAATGAGAGGAAACTAACAAGGGCAGTGTGACGACAAGGCACCAAATATTTTGCTGAGTCAAATGACAGAGAGCATAACCAGAGTGATTATAAATAATAGGCCGGATAGAGATATCCAAGGAGAAATGCAAATTCCCGCTAAATCAACTAATAAGCTAATATCACATGAATATTTTCGACAAAGACAATGGACGTTGGAACGGTCATTTTTTGGCCTATAAGCTGTCATTAGTCAACCATAACCAACACCAGCCGAGGCTCGAAAACGCAACCTGACATTTTTAAAGTCCAGGGCTTCGACTACTGAAACACGGGCCATTTTCGCGCTGGTTTAGTTCGGGAATATTGATATTGCCGGATAACAAGAGCCCGTGGCTCAGTGGTTAGAGCATGGGACTTCTAACCAACATGTCACGGCCTCGAGTTCCAGGTGTTCCAACGCCTGAGGTTGGGTCTGCCTGGCTGATGACGGCTAATAAGCCTGAAATGGTCATTCCAGTTTCGCTGATCTTTGCCGGTTATTTTTTCCCGCCTATACTACCG